CTGGTGACACGGCTGGCCCAGGGCAGCCACACAGGCCGACCTGGCGCCTCGGGCGGGGAAGTGTTCGGCCCGGGCCTGGGCTGCTCGGCGGCGCTGGGCGCTTGTTTGTGTGGCAGAGGAAGGAAGGGCACCTGTGGGTTTTGAAACCGTTCAGCTTCCTTCCCCGTTGCAAGAGAAACCGCAGCGCAGCACAGGCGGGTTTAATTACCGCCCCAGCGCTGCTAATTAGCGTTTGGGCACATTCGTAAGCTGCGTGCTGCCACCGCGCATAATAAGCAGCTCGGCGAGCCCCAGCTAATAAGCCAGGCGGCTTTCGGGGACTTCATGTCGCTGTGCACGGGGGCCAGGGAAGCCTTGTTCCTCAGCTGGCAAGGGAGACGGCCAGGCCGGAGGTGGAGCAGCCTTGAACGGAGGAGCAGCAGCAGCCAGGCGCTGGGCAGGTCCCGGGAAGACTCAGACCAGAGCAATCCCAGATTCACCTAACGCCTGGGGCTCCTCTCTCAGCAACACTTCATCCTGCTGCTTTTCCTAGCACACTGACAATCATGAAAGCTAGAGAACGCCTCTGTGCAGGTCATCGACACAACCTGCAACCCTCAGCACTGAAATGAGGCATGTGTGATGATCCCTCAGGGTGCATGCATTTTCTTCCTCATTTTTTCAGGCAGAACGGCTCTTGTGTAAGGGGGGAGCGGTTGTACAAAAAGGAGCCGTTTACACAGCTCCTTTTTGCGCAAAAGCCTCTTGCGCAAAGATGCTCCCTAATTAATTATGCAAATGAAGCATAGCAATATTCCACTCCACGCTTCATTTGCATAAGCTTTTGCGGATGAAGGCTACAGTATAGACGTAGCCCCAAAGCCCAGATGGCAGGGCTGAGCCAGCGTGTGCTGTTACTTTGTACATCTTGGGCTTCAGGCATTTGAGTTTAGCCGCTCTCTGCATTTTGGGAAGGAACCAGAATGTGCTGGGAAACCTCATTTCTGATCTTACAAATATTTTGTGTCTTGAAGGGGAAGCTGTGTTAGTCTGTGTGACACAGTGGGGGTGCAGTCTGCTCTGTAACCCAGGGTTCCCCTGCATTGTGATGTGTGACTCCCACTGACTCACCCACATGTGGCGATGTAGTGTCAGTACCTTGCTGGTTGCGGGGCTGGGGCTGGGGATGACCCCTACTGGCCCTGCCTGTGAGCCCAGCCCAGCAGGGGGGCTGCCTGAGTCAGACACAAAGACCCAACCGGTCAGAGGATTGAGGACAGCGAGGGAACTAGGGAAGTGAGTGTTCAGGGAAGGGGCAGTTGCTGGTTGGGAAACATGAAGGGAACAGCCTGAGCTGGGGGCTGAGGGGCTAGGGGTGATGGACCCCTACCCCAAGGGGGCTGAGGCATCCTGGCCCTGGCTCCTGTAACCACAGCACGTCTGAGCTGTATCCTAGAGAAGCAATAACCCTCCATTCGACTGGCTGGGGGGGGCTGTTTGTGTTTCAGGGAAGGGGCAGTTGCTGGTTGGGAAACATGAAGGGAACAGCCTGAGCTGGGGGCTGAGGGGCTAGGGGTGATGGACCCCTACCCCAAGGGGGCTGAGGCATCCTGGCCCTGGCTCCTGTAACCACAGCACGTCTGAGCTGTATCCTAGAGAAGCAATAACCCTCCATTCGACTGGCTGGGGGGGGCTGTTTGTGTTGCAGACGGGGCGCAGGATTTGGGGGAACCCCGACGCGGCGTCACAGCAGGTACCAGACCCCTAAGGCAGGCGAGGCTCCGCGGCACCGACCACACACGGG